GGTTACGACCAACTCAGGATACGCCCAGAGTCACGGAACGGATTAAGTTCGTATCCCGAGGTACCACTGTAAATGAATAAAAAGTTGCTGGAAACAAGACAACAGCACAGTGCTTTGAAATATTTTGATACATTGCACCTGGTGGTAATTCCATGTGTTCAAGACACTGGATCCCCTTGGAGGTTTTTCAGTAAAATAAGCTGCTTTTGAAATTCAATCGCTTTTCTATTGCCTCTTGTTCATACCTTAACATCAATGCTTTAAGCTCCCCCATACCACGATAGATAGCTGCCTAGTGGAAGTATTGCTAAATCCTGGATAGTCAGATTTTCCTGTCTTTGCTTACATTCTGTTGAATTATTGTACTTTCATACTGTCCCATGAAAGGTCTTTAGACAGAATTCATTCATTTCACGCAACTCTATCTACTCTTTCTTATAGGAGCAACTTTAACCCAGCCTAATTTAGGATGGGTAGCTCTCTTGTTTCTGACCAAAGTAATCGGGAAGGTAAGTGAATATTTTGCCTGGACTTGTGCTACGGTTCACTCAGAATGTTAACCTATGCATATTTACTCAAATGGAAGCCCTACAATGTATGGAAGTTAATCCTTACCCTATAAATCAGAATGACCCATAGGTTGCACTAGAATATGAGGCTGTGGCAGGGGCAGCAACTGTGCGACAGAAGCCCCACTCCCTTTTTGATGCACACGAAAGGAGGGTGGCTTCGAATGTGTGGGTGACATCTTGACTATCTGAGGGACTGCCTCTCCCATCCCTCTAGATTGGATACAGCAGGCTCACTCTGGGTCCCCTCTATTAAGTGTCATCACCTGGTGGGGCCTAGGAAGCAAGCTTTTTCCATAGCTATCCCTACCCTCTGAAACAGCCTTCCCTTGAGATACAGAGGACCCCTACCATCCACGCCTTCAGCTCTGGGTCTTCCCTGAGGTGTTGGGTCAGGATGGGAGGTGAGCCCAGCATGTTTTATGTTTTCTAAGTGGATACTGTTAGAATGCTGAGTCTGAATCCTGTTTTTATCAATTTTGTGTGTGTTAGCCACCTAGGGTTGTTTTATCTAATATAGGCAGCCGATAAATTTTTAAATTAAACATCTAAACTCTTAGGCATAGGCAGTTGTACATACAACTGCAGATTCTGGTAAATGACACCTACATTCTAACTCATTTCAGGATACGTCTCACCTCTCTGAGAAGGTGATCTTATAAAAAGCCCTTTTTATTCATTAATACAATAGTGTTATCTTCAATATCTGACTCAACTTGGAAGCTTCCCAAGGCACTTGAAAGATGGCTGTACTATATTCAGCTTTATAAACATAGGCAGGCACTACACTGGGTACGAAAAAGAATATTTTTCCTTAAAAAGGCATTTGTAAAAGAAGTATTGTTCTAATAGTGTCTTTTTGCCCTCTTACCGTGAACATTCCCTAGTAAAATGTCCCCAGCAACTGAAGTCAGAAACGAGGAATCTGCATACAGATATTCAGCTTTTAGCAAACCGTTTTCACTTGCAATGTTAATAGATGATCCTTGGAGCTTTTCTACGTTCACACTCTATCAAAATAAAAAATAAAAAAATACAGTAAAGTTATATTACAATATTCTGACTCAGTGATAGATAAGCAACAGTTCCTATAACTGTACATTTAATTATAAAGTTCAGGTCCCAGATGTGTGCACCAAGCACACTATATACATTTCAGAAATACACACACACACACACACACACACACACGAGACAGATTCCCAGGCATCTGGAAATAACCTCAAAGTCATGGAAAGGACAGAATGCCTGGAAAACTTTCGGAAGAAGAAGGTACAAACTAATGGGGTAAAAGAATGAAGGCATTAGCACAATCCAAGGCAGCAGGTGTTGCCATGGGAATGAAGTAGGCATTAGATCAGAAGAACTTCAAAAGTTAAATTAGGACTTGTTGGATCAAAGGGTCCCATGCCTGATCTGGTATATCCCTCCTAAAAGACTGAAATTATGACTGAGGAGGCAAAAATGAAGAACTAAGGCAAAAGTGATTTCTCCATTGTTGCTGTATTTTTCTCTACAAAAAAGAAGTTTGGTGGGTAATTTAGGAGAATTTATATCAATAATCCAAGCAGCTTCTGAAATGAGATGTTGATTTCCATGGTATTTTCTTGGCTTTCTCTCCATGCTTCATTCCAGGCAAGGGCCCAGCTCCTGACTTGCTTGATCAACTTCCTGGCGTATTTACCTGTCCTGCAGAACAAGGCTTAAAGCCAAGAAACGATCTGGCGTTTGGTCTTGGCTTATCCCTGGACACCTTGGCAAAATTTCATTCTGCAGAGCTGTTGGAACTGCTGGCAAATTTGCTTTGGCTCAGGCCGAGGAGTCTATCTACTGCCAGTGTGCCAACACCATAAATATATAAAATGCCTAAATGTTGCTGAAATATGGTGACTGTGGAAAAGCAAAGGAACTAGGAATATATCAGTGAGAAGCATGGAATCATTTCAGACTGGTGCATATATAGTATAGGGGTTTTGCTAAAACGCATTTGTGATGGAAGGCTGCTTGGTGAAGAGCATTAGTATAAAATTCAAGCAAGCCTCCTCACAGATAGATATGAAGGGACAGATTTAGCAGATACATTTTTTAAAAGTACAGAAGATCACTGCAGTGACAGCATTAATAGATTTCTTGGTAGCATTGCGGAAATTATTTGCCATTGTCTACTGAAGTGTTTTTGATGCTCTAGTCTAGCCAACAATCCAAGAACTCCCAGATGGTTCCCCCATCCAAGTACTAACCAGGGCTGACACTGTTTAGCTTCCAAAAACAACAAAGGTCATGTTACCACTGCCACCTGCTGAGGCAGATAGGGCAAATCACAAGAAAATTAAATCAGAAGTTGTTCAACCAACTTAATTTACTACAACCAAGAGCGATTCCAAAACAAGGAATGTAATATGTACTTATATTCTTGTAAATGTGTACTACATGCTGCTTATTCCAAACTGATTTAGGATGCAATCAAACATTCAGTATGCTTTTAATTTTCCAGCTCATATTTTTTTTGTGGGCTATGTCTGACTGATTTACAGCTTTGTAACATCTGCTCTGACATTTTTAGCCCTGTTTTAAACAAAAACAAACTTAAAAATGGGAGTGGTTGACATGTAACATTTTCTGCTGATTGGTTATAGACACATTACACCTTTTATAGAACGACAGTTAATTCCTTGATCCATTGTTAGGCATGACCCCGGCATTAATTTGATCCATATTTTTCTATGGTAACATGAATGAATCAATCACATGGTTTAGTCACTAGCACTGAAAAATCACTTGTTTAAATATAAGAGTTTACTTGGTTAGTTTTGCACATACCAGAAGAAAATATGATTGACTGGAAAAATTTGATCATGGGAAATGTCACCTTCCCTAATGGATATTTAAGCTGGCCTTTCTTTGCAGGAAAGTGAAAGGATGGTTGCTATTAGAATCTGCCTGAAGACTTAGATTTGTCTAATTTTATTTGTTGCATTTAAATCTAAAATACTTTGTACAATAATTGAATTAATCAGGAACTTTCTCTCTTTCTCCCTCGGTCTTTTAGGAATCTGCTCTAGCAACTAAAGTCAGAAGTGTCCAATTTTAGCATCAGGAGAGCTATAATGCAGAGCTATAAACCTTCATCAAGTCTTGGTTTACACTGGAAATGCTGAGAGAGTCTTAACTACATAATGATGATTCTAACTGATGGAACAAAATTGTCATAAAGACTCCCCAGGGCAAGCAAAATGCAGGTTGTTAACAGAAACTGGTCTTTGAGAAAGCCAGCCAAATTTCTTACTCCAACGAAGCTGGCTGCCCTGCTATTGTACTTGGAAGATAAATCTGAGAATACATTGGATTGATGCCCAATTCTATAGCTATAAAACCTTATTAATAATTCTACTGATTGCAATATAAAGAGTGCTGATAGGAACGCACAAAGAAAACAAAAGTTATGTGATCAAGACATCAGTATAAGATATATGATATTATATGTTATGCTAGTATGAACGCTATTTTAAAAGTTCCACATGGTTCATTTGCAATTTTATTTCTTCTTTAAAACATTGGAAGGAATCCCTAGCATACTATCAGATTGAACCCATGTGTTATCCTAGAATATGGGGCTGTGGCATCCGGGAGCGGGGGGGGGCTAATAAAAGCCAAGATGGCAGCCCCAACAGTATGATTGAAGCTCTGTTCTTTCTATGATGCACATAAAAGGGGTGGGGCTTCAAATGGGTGGCTGTGACTGGCATCAAACCTTTTTTTTAACCCTTCCCTGCATATACCCTTGGGCTGATACCCAAAAGGACAGCTCTTCTTCTTTGTATTGTAATGTTGCCCAGCAAGCCATCCTCTATAGCAACTCTAAGATGTGTGGACTTCAACTCCCAGAATTCCCTAGCCAGCTAGAATTCTGGGAGTTGAAGTCCACACATCTAGCAAGGTTGAGAAACACTGATTTATAGTAAACTATTCCTTCCACGGATCTCATCGTGATACAATTGGTTCCCAGGGGTGAAGACAGGGAATGGCTTGAGTAAGCATGCATTAACATACAGAGAAAAACACTGGGTGATAGACCCAAGTTGAATGTAATATCTAACAACCCACAAACCATTTCTGGACTATAATTACCCATATGGCACCTCTCTCTGGATGTCCAGGAATGCTGTAAAGACTGATGTTTCCTACTGCTCTTTAATTGTTAAGATCATTATTGAGGAAGGACACCAAGGAAATACTTTTCATTGATTTTGTTTTAACTGCATGCATTACGGCTTGGTGAATACTAAAACTATATTTTAAACCACCAGAGTTCTATTGTGGTCTATAAATACATTAATTACATTTATAGACTTGCATATTAACTGCTGCTATTTGCGCTGGCATTTGGATGTTGGGGGTGTCTGTCAGCCCAAAGACCTCTCTTTTATTGCCTGCTAATCTCCCAACACGGATGAGTTTACTTTTCTTTTGTGGGTTGTAATTAAAAGAGAGAATCCATGGAAACCTGGCACATGCTGCAAATTCTTCAGAATCGGCCTTATTTCTAAAAATAAGACTTCATAGGCATTCCTATAAAGTAAAAATGGGAATGGGGGGGGTGGGTGGCCCTAGCCCAAGGCTTTATTTTGGAAATGTGCTGAGCTGTATTGACAACAGCTGGGGTTTAGGTTAGAATAAATTAAGAAATAAAGAACACGGTGGTGGAAAGGAGAAGCCCTGTCAGTTGGCCGTCCGTGAAGTGGCCGGTTCTATCACAGCTGCCCCTTCATCACTGTGCAAACATTTTCACGGTGGCCATTTTGTAAGAGCCAGGCTTGAACAAAAGGGCATATTTATAATGAACTATCTTCTACTCTTCAACCACAGGGCACACCGAGCTTCCTCTCCACTCTCAAATGGCCACACAGCTTCAGCTGTAGGCCGCTCTTGAGATGGAAGTGAAAAGATCTCCTTTCTCCTGGGACAGCACACGAAAACAAAATGTCACATTTTCACAAGGCAAAGCAGGGTCCTTACTGCTAGAGAGGACTTGGCAGGCTGTCAGTAGAGGGGTGATCTCAGGTGTGAAAAAAATGAGGCAGGGTAGAGAGGGAAACAACCTCCCAATTTTAGTTTTCTGGCCTGTTTCGCAGCAACTGGAAGCACTAAAACATGGCAGCCAGCCCACAGACAAAATCATTCCAGATCATGGGCTGTCAGAACACAAAGGTGAGTGAACTGACCGGGTTGGGCGAACGGTTCCAAGCATTTTTTTTTCCAAAAAAGACTCTTGAGATACGTTTTCTTTAACAACGGAAGGGTTATCTGAAAATAATGTACTGGAACCCAATTCATTTGTGCAGCTCATTCTTCTCTTTATTCTTTTTTTTTAAACAGTTTCCACACCTCTCAACTGCATTGTGCATTTTCCTAAGATCTTTATAGTTTCTAAAATAACCCCATTTATTAATACCATTTAAAATCTTCATTTCATCAAAGCCTTTTTTACAAATGGCTGTTCCTATTTTTTTAATTACATTGCACAACGCTAAACTCTTCTTCTGCCATATATTAAGCACAGTCAAAGGCAACAGAAATGCAATTTTCTATTTTTTTTTCAGCCTGGCTGAGATAAGCCAAATGAGGTTATATAATATCTTTATGCCCTTCCATTTCACTTTAAAATTATCCTCAGAGAAGCTTCTGGAATTTGTATTCCTACAAACAAGAAACTAACCATGCTTGTCATGGTATTTTCTTCCTCTGGATTTTAAATGGATGGGAAAATATAGATGCCAACTTATGAGATAATTCTTACCCTATAGCGTGGCAAAAGTCAGGATCACTCAACAGAAATTGACAAGAAAATTTCCATATTCATACTACTGAAAGAGAAATCCAACAAGCTAAAGATGCCATCTTCTGGAAAATATATGGCACCTCTCTCCATTTCTCAGAAAAGAAATTTTCAACAGCTTTTCATACGCCTGAATGTATAGTACAATATTGTGAGATGATCATTACCCTAGAAAAATACAGCAATCTTAAAATCTACTATATGAACTTTGCCAATGCATTCTATTAAGAACTACAGCCCAGATCAGCTTATTTAAGGCTGGACAATTGAAATTAAAAAATGGGCTGACAACTGCTATGTTTAGTTTTCATGTACCATATACAAAATAAAAAATGATTTTTTGTAAAGAATGCAATCTTGAGTTAAGCAACATTAGAATATGCAGATAAGCATTGAATTGTATTTTCTGAAAAAATACCTACCGAAGCACAGCAAGAATTAACAGTGGATGCAAGTACAAAAATAAAATAATTCTTCTCATATATGATATAAAAATATATACCTTTTAGTGTAATTTAATTTACCTTATGCTACCCCAATGGCTCTCACTTACACTTTCTTGTGACACATGAATATCAGTGTTTCCTTGAAGAGTTTCCAAGCAGACAACTTTCCCTCCTTTTGCCCGAATATCAATTTTCTGACTCTGAAAGAAAACTGCATAGATGTTAAAAAGGTTTACTTTCTTTTTCTTCAAAGATTCATTACTCAGTTACGGCGGATTCTAACTTTCAAATCTGATTCTCCTTATATCTCTCAGCAACTTTTCTGGAAAATGAACAGCTGTATGAAAGGCAAAGAACACTTTTTCAATTACCTCTGTGGCATACTCTAATAACGTTGAATTACTGCCCCTTACGTAGCTCTTAAAGGTGAAAGAGATCTACAGTGCTAGGAATTTCAGAAGATCGGACCTCTTTAAGTCAGCAAAAAACTTATAAAATCTGTATGTCTAAAGAGCTATGAAGTGTCAGCTAAACAGATTAGCATTCTGAGACGGAATAAAAGGGAAGCCTCTGATTTTCTGACAAGGATATATAAATAAGCAATTAGTTGGTTAACTTGTCAATCCTATTCACAACTGTTCAGAAGTAAAATCCATTGGATTCAGTGCTACCCATTTCAGAGAAATGTGCACAGGATTTCAGCTCAGCAACGTGGGCCAGCGGCATGATTGGAAGAATTTAAAGTCTAGCCAAAGAACGCTTCTGGAGATGTTTATAATTCCATCCATGAGCACCAAAGAAAACAGGTACAAGGCATCAATATTTATTTATTTATTTATTTATTTATTTATTTATTTAATTGGATTTCTCCGCCGCCCATCTCACCCACAATAGGGGACTCTGGGC